TTAATACTACAGTAAGTGGACTAGTAATATTTTTGGTGGGTAGCTGCGTCAGCATGCGTAGGCTGCAAAGGAACAAGTAACAGGTTTATTCCATGCTGAATAAAAGAAGAAAACAAGTTTCGGCCGTGGAGCCTTTCGGCCGTGGAGCCTTCTTCAGGTGTGAAGGTGTATTACTTGTTCCTTTGTAGTAATATTTTTGCTGTGTATATTAGCTCTAGTTTAAAAGAAAAGAGACATTTTGTATTTGGATTGAACAGTATGCCTGAGGATAGAAATATATCATGTTTTAAAGCCATAATCAGGGAATGCTCAACAGACAAATATGCACTGATGCAACGCATAGAGCAGTGGTCACTGCACTGAGTTTATATAATGACTAATGGAATACTTCGGAATTGGACTTGTCGTATAGAATTAGCACTTTAATCAGTGTTTGTTTAAAATTTTCTATAATTAATTAGTTCGAATTTGTGGGAAAAAAACAAACATTTAACCTACTGTAGATCATGAAGCAGAGATTTGGCTAGCCCTCAGACATCAGGGGCATTTCAGGCTGTGTGTTTTGTTGTTTACAAGTCACAGAAACAGGGATAATGCAGGTATGGAAAAACACTTGGGTTATTTGAATGGTTTACATATTTTCCCTGTAGGAAAATGGAAATTGAATGTAGAGGTTTTCAATCAGTGTTCATTTATATCTATACTTAGAGGGTAACAAATTACAAACTACACAAATGGTATTGGTTCCTATAGTCATTTGCTTGTGTTTTTAATGTCTCTCTGCATAGAAATGTGTAGGATATGTAATAACCAGATTGTACTTATAAAAGTTTATAAATCTGTAGTTTCTTAAGGAAATGGACAAAATTGTAACTGAAAAATGGCTAGTCTTACGACCTACGTTTGGTTGAAAATTAGGTCTGCATTGGTTATTAGTGTTTCATCTCTATTTTTTTCTTGATGAACTTTTATTAAGAGAACCTGGAGAATACCTGGGAACTTATCC